ATAAATAGAAACCAAATCATACTTATCAAAAAATTACATGAAACACTCCATGAAACATTAGACAAAGAACAAAACAGCAATTATTCCTAACAAGTTCAATTTTTTTTATTCTCGATTAAATCTCCATTCTCTACATACTTTTCATATCCTTTCGTACGTTATTTTCAACGGTTCACAGATCGGATGCTTTTTTACATTGAAATTGAGAGATAATTTGAAAAAGCAATTATACTTTGGTATACTCTGCTCTTTTCATTTATCAACACATTACAGGAATTTGTATAAATTTCATCTTCCATATTGTTCGAGCAGCTAGAGTAGTTTTCATTTGAAATTGTTATGAAACTTTACTGATAATTTTCGTTAAGAAGACACATGACCTTCAACTGAGCTGAAATGATGTTTTCCTTTGATGCTGGCTACAGAATGGTATGTATTTGAATCTGATAATTCAACTGATTTTAAGTTGTAAGAATAATTATAGATTACGAGATTTATCGATAATTCTATCTCTAAACACCTTTTATATGATTATTTAAATATTCAATCCGAAAAAAGTGGTGTGACCGCTATTTTGTAATTGTTATTATACCTTCACTAGATATCGACATCGTAGCCGCGTTGTACACTAGTCTTCAGAGAACATGTCGCGGTTGGACGGTATGAGCGCTATTATTGCAGCGGTATTGAGAGTACTGGCCCCGTTGATGTGCGACATTTACTCTGAATACGAGTGTACATTAGTATGGTTAAAAAGGCAAAAATGGGGTATTCCATGTTGCAAAGTGTACCACTGTACAAAACAGGTTGGTTCTGCACTCTTTGCCTATTATATACTCATCCCTTTTTCCATGCTCTCAGTATCTTTTGTTTTTTGTGTTGTTTTACATACTAAAAATGTCAATCCATTCGGTCAAGCCGTTTAGTAGTTGACGTACCGATAGCAGCGCCACCTACCACATCCAATTATATTTTTGAATCATCCAGGAAAACATCGAAATACCGATATGAAATTTCAACCCAATCGGTCCAACCGTTTAGAAGTTATGTGAAAAATAAAAAAGAGAAGTACCTACGGAATAGTATATTACACACCGAGATGGGAAGAGATTCATTCTTGTCGTGAGATAAGTCAGTTAACCAAGACGCAAAGCATATATGATTGTGAATAAATACATTTCTTACTACCTGTTGTCCTATTACTTGTTTTCCCGAGAAAAAATGAAGCATTTTCTCTCGATGAAAAGTAGCCTATGTTCGTCAAAGATATAGTGAATGATAATTGCACTGAATCCAGTTATCAAAATTCATTTTCAATAGTTATATCACTAGGACATTGATAATAGACGAGATAATTTTATGACAATCGGAAGCAATGAGCTTGAGAAATTTGTCATGAATTTATGTGGCATTTGTCAATGTCCGAGGGATATTCGAGAGAATATAATTTAAAGTTGTCAAAGTCGGTCGTGTTGTCATAGTGATTGATAATTGCACTGTATGCAGTTATCAACATTGATTTTCATGCTGAAGGTTCCAGTTTTCGATAAATATTATGTTCGTGAAATATCGTGTACAACTCAGGTAAAGCAGGCGAAGAAGGTGAAGCCCAAGTATATGTTTTCTATAACCAATGTGTATTATGAACTCTGGAATAAACAAATTCCAAAGCGAATTAAGATCCATAAAATACATTTGTCCATCTTTGTTTTTTCCTCAAATTGAATTATATTAGTTGAAACATTGTTTTAATCAATATCTTCCTGACCGCTTGAGGTCTCTTAATAATCCACTCATGTTATCCTGCTGAGTGCTTCATGATACGTAGAAAAGATCCAATAACTCACTTCCTCTTCCACCAACTTCACCGAACTTCTGGAAGTTCACTGTATTAAATAAAATAATTCCGGAACTTTTCATCGCATCATAAAACCCAGATTTGAAATCGAATTTCAACATGAGGGAATTAAGAGCTGCTGAAGTTTTCTTATAATTTCACATATTTCTTTCGAAAAAGTTCCGCGAAATAACCGTTCATAAACGTATACAAAGTACAAATGGTGTTTCCGAAGTAGTGTGCTGTATATGGGTATGTATCTCTTCACGGCTCATCTGTTGGACTACGCTTGGAAAATTTTACAATTTCACACTCTTTTGTTTTGTGAAAAGAGAATATGGAGCTGGAAAAGCACACATAACATCAGACTACGAAGTTTCGAGGATATGACTATATTTCAAAGTATCCAACAAAGAATATTGTTGATTAATCCATAATACATTTCAATTTTATCACCTGATCTCTGTATAGATTTCGTTATGAGTTTTGTATGTTACTTTGTTTTGGTTTCTTCTCCTTGAAATCTTCACTATTCACCTACATTATCACTCATCTGAAAGTTAGGCCGTCGAAATATTTGTCTACTTCAATATTCTGACCACTCGAACAGTTAGTTGATGATTTAGTCATCAATTCTGAATATTTTGCTACATATCCACACTCACTCATATCAAATTCATAGACTGAAAATTTCTGTTAGATCAGTAGAATAACAATGGGGATTCTGCAACACCCTCCATCATGAATGATTCTCTTCCGAAATCGAGGGAACTTCAACGGAATAGATCAGATTGCGCCGAGCATACCCTCAGAAATCACTAGAGTTACTTGCATCCGTCTGGAATTGCATGTTCTCCTATGTTATCGTATATCGTATGTCTACCTGCGAAGCAAACCTCATTTTCGCTCGAGCAAGATATTCGATTAATTAATTCGGTTCGGATTGTGTTTTGAGATAAAACACAAACGTGAGGATATTTACGTACTGTTCTTAAATATCATATGATAGAAAGTTTTCAAACAACTTGCATACGGTACGTTGAATAATACATTGAGTGATAGAACAAAGCATGTTCTCCAGCATCTTCCATTGTTGATCAATATATGATATAGAATGATGAAATCTCATGACTATTATACTTACTGGATAAAATTATTGAGTCAATTGCATTTTTCTATAAAAGAGGCATAGAAAGTTCTGACTACTTACAGACAAATAATTTGACTGTGAGCTCTGTCGATGCCTGAATACAATCCTCTTCTTTAGATCTTGCGAGGGTTATTTATAGGCGAATGAATTTGAGATCACAGCGCCAAAGCGGCCAGTTGTGTGAGAATACATTGTGTTGGAAGGGTTCATTCGCCTGTGTGTTTAATTTCGATTTTTTACAGTGATTTGTGCAAAGAAAACTGTTTATTTGTGTCTTCTCGTGATTCGCGGGAGCTTTTCAACATATATTCGTTCAATAAAATATGTTTCACTACTTATACATGAGATTCGCAAAATATGAATGCCCCAATTGGAGGTGACATCAGTTTGCATGTCATTCCCATTCAGTAGATAAATGAATATTGCTAATTGAGTGAAGTGAATATGATGTTCACAAAGGACGTATTTGAGATGTATGTATTGTAGTCGATTTATCTATTTACATATGTTTGAGAATGAGAAAAAGTCCCCAAAGCTGGATGTATCTGTGAATAATTGATCCACCTAGTAGGAAAAATTGAACATATGTGCTTTTTACTCTTTTAAATTCCTACTGTGACTTTCCACTCCTGTGAATCTAATGCAACTGAATTTCATATCGAAGTTGAGTGAAAATCTTTCAATCACACACTGATTGAATAACATGTCAAAACGGAGCAATGATGATTTAAGTCACTCTACTTCAAAATTCAAACTCGAAAAATATCTAAATGACTACTTAACTTTCGATGGAATGCATGGAAACTCGAATGTAATCACACATTAAATGCACTTTTCATTAGTTACTTGAATATCCACGAGAGGGAGTATCGCTTATTTTGAATCGCCTATAGATAATCTGTTTGAATTGGTTGCTATAGAATAAATATTCCGTGAAACCAGAAAACAGACTCTGTAATTCTCCTACTGCTGATAGATATACAAGTGAAAGGAAATCTCATTCTGTTTTTCCTTGGAATGTTCTGACTACTTTGAAATTGAACCCCTCATGTCATTACAAACACTATTCATACCACAATCGTTTCAACAGTGTCGTATAGTGTGGTAGACCCCAATTGCTGATGAGCTTTCGATATCATTCATTGGAGATTGAGACAATACATTTTTTCAAATATATCAAAATATTTTGAAACTTTGGTATGTATAAACGATGATACCATCAATTGTGTATCTCAGACAACATACCATTATTTCCTTATATTGTATTTGATGAATTACATTAGTAGAGTAGCCAGGAGAGTTCTGCGACATGCCACCGTGATGATTGTCTATCAAAATCTAGGAAGTTTAAAGATCCTCACCACTGAAACAAACGAATTCAGAAGAAGAAAACCGACTCTGTGAAACTTCCACTGTTGATGTATATACGAGTGAAACGTAAAATCATTTTTTGTTCTTCAACAATTATCCGTCCTCGAGAAAAAATTTATGATTGCAATATTTATATTAATACAACACCAATTCAAGTCCCAACGATTTTTATGTTTTTCTGTAATATCAGCTCAATTGATGATGTGTTCACAAAATATTCACTTATGAAAATCGAGACAATTTCTTTTATATTCTTCATCAATTTCTCGAATTATTCTGATACTTCTGTATTTTTCATTGACATTGTGTATCACAGAAAATAACTCCTCACTTTATTACTTTCTATCTGTAGATTTTGTATTTCGATAAGATCAGTAGAGTAGCAAAGAGAGTTCTGCGACATCTCCACCATTTACAATCTTTCGAAAATCTAGGAAATTTGAACAAACCAGATCAGATTACGCCAAACGTAGTCTTAGAAATCAGTAGGAACATTCGCATCTGTCTAGAATTGAATGCACTCCAATGTTACTCTCATTCTTGCTTAAGCAAGATATTCGGGTAATTAATTTAGTTCGGGTGGTGTTGGTGTAACAGGCAGTCTGAGACGAGAGACAGACGTGAGGATATTTATTTACGTACCGGTATCTCGAACCCAGTAGTTGATGGATTTCGGATACGCTTCCACGTTGCATTCTAATGTGACGTCAGTGCCTAGAGGCGCTCCTACGAGCTGGTTCGGAACGTGGATCACGGGGTGAACTGGAAGCAAACAGAGAAAATCAAGTCAAACGGTTTATTACACACTGTGAAAAAAATAGGGAATTGTGAGTTGAAGAATACTGTTGCTCTTTCAATTATTCATTAGTGAACTGTTCATTCTTCATCTTTCTTCAACATTAGAGGATTTGTTTCAGCGTATGAACTGTCTCAGTTGCTGTACGGAATATTCGTATTCTTTTTAATATCACGAAGCGCACGAGAGAAAATTCCTATGATGTCAAAAAAACCTTGTGCGTTCCTAGGGAAAGGTGATAGGTGTTGAGTTTTTGAACTTCTGGAGGTTATAAATTCTTTGGAATACTTCCGTGGGCGAAGAATTTCTCTGCTTGTTTGAGAGAAACTATTATTCAGTTATGATTGAATTATATTCAAATATTGATTGATTTTTCATTCATGAGGATACGTGGGTACTTTTGGTTGCAGTAAAAGAACGTTTGTGAGGGATAATGAAAGAAATTACAAAATATCAAAGAGTATCGATAGTTCCTTCTTCTCCACGAAAACATGTTTATTTGAAAAAAATATGAAAGTAGTTCGATGATAAAATCATAAGTTGTTTACGACGAGTGATATCATCTTAATTTCATCAAAAAAAATTTCATCATTTCAATTTCAATGTTATAGAGAATATATTTTTCTCAAAATTATATAGAAAATTATCTGGTACATAACAGATACAATTCAATATTCTGTGGCATGAAAGAATTATGTAGTGTGTCCCGTTTCTGATGCTTTTGCGCGATATCTCAGTTATCTCTGGAGATAAAACCTGGCGGTTTCTGCCGTTCTGTGTTACTTCTTCGTGAAACTCAGGATGAACTTATCAGATTCTGCATAACTGTTTCCGTTTACGAGATGCAGGCCGATTTTGAAAATAAAAACTTTCTGGACCCCCACTATATCTACCAAGTGTCTCAGCGAAAATGTCAGATTGAAATCTTGATTTATGAAGAATTTCACGCAGAACCCAGTAAAGTACTCAATTTTTTTTCTCGGTGTATGGTTAAGAAAATACGCAAATCCTGTATTTTATAAGCTCATCAGATTCCTTATTTTCTTCCTTCACAGCATGATTTATATTGTATAAATATAAAATTTTCAGAAATGCACCGAAACCACTGAAACATTGAATTTTGATGAGCTATGGATTTTTCATATAAAAAAAGTTTCAGTTGGAGGTATTTTTCTTCTGATTCTCACATGAAGAGGACAAAAACAATATCAACACTAATCAACTAACAAAACACAAAACTCAGGTACCTGATAGCAACAAATACATGGTAATGAGAAGTTCATAATGTAGAATAAGAACCTGATTAAATATTTACTGAGACAATGAAATTTCGAAATCATTCAGTGATTTATTCATTGAATCGTAAAAATTGATGTCCATCTTACTTCCTTATGCATTCAAGATCATCAAAGTTCTTCTAGATTGTTATACTTCTTACTGTATTAGGACGTACTGAGAATGTGTGTCAATTGTGCGTTGAGGAACATCTTGGAAAGTCAGGAAAATGGATATCGATTTTAACAATCTAATTAATAATTTACTGAATGATTTCGAAATTCATTTGTATTAGTAACTAGTTGATTACGTGCTCATTCTGAATTAGGACTTTTTATTGCTATTTATTTATCGCTATCAGGTAGCTAAGTTAAGTGTTTTGATAGTTAATTAGTGTTGGTATCGTTTTTGTCCCCTTCATGGAGAAATCGAAAGAATTATTCCTTCAATTGGACATTTTTCTATATACTATTAAAATTCAATATTCTTGTGATTGTGGAGCATTCTTGAAGATATAATATTTTTATATCATATATCATTCTGGAGGTGAAATATCAAGGAATTTGATGAGGTTATGAAATACAGGTTGTTTCATTCGAAAAATCATAAGTTCGAGTCGTATCTGCGAAACCATATCACGAAAAAATAAAAAGTAATAATTTTCAAAATCCCTCTGTATAAAATAACCGGAAACAGTTATATACAAATCTTGTTAAGCCATAATTAGTTTCACAAAACAGTGGCACAGCACGGCAGAAACCGCAAGGTTGTATCTCCAGAGATAGCTGAGATATCACGCGAAAGCATCAAAAACGGGACACACTGTACAAGTAAGTGTACATAGCTTGTTTAAATTAACTAAGAAGAGGGAAGATGATGATTTCGATTGTGCTGTATGAAAATCGTTTTGAAGTGCAAATAAACAATGATTCCCCTAAAAATATTACGCAGTTATTCAAGAACACTGAAATATTGACATTCAAAATTAGAATCATGAATCAGGAGAATGATTATTGTCACAATATGAAACAGAACACAAAGAGAATAATCTCTTTATATTCATAAACTTGTCAATGAGTCGATAAATGCATACATATAATTTCTTGGTGTACTAAGTAGGAATTGTTTAGTTAATTTTCAATAGTATGAATTTGTTTGACTCTTTATGCAATTTGGAAATCGATGAAGAGTTCAATACGTCAAGTGTTTGTAGCATCATCACCATCTTTGATTATCAGTTCCAATATAGATGAGGGTCTATAATGAATATATTCCGATTTTGAGAACAAAAAAAAAACGAAAACAAAAACTATCTGGCGTCGTTCGACTTAGTGGGGTTTGTCTACTCTGCTTCCTCAAACTAAAAGCTCCGAATCATGCAAAAAGGCACTTCTTAATCCAGAATTCGTATGCCACTAGTCTTCCTTCTGGTCCCACCAATCGCCCGAATCTGCTATTTACATATGTAAAACTGCGTCGGGCAATGTAGGCGACAACAAGGCCATTAACACGAAAACCGATGCATATAAAACGCGGTGTTGCTTGAAATTGAATGTGAAGGATTAAGGGGACACCAGACGGGCCACTTTGGGGTAAAGGCTGACCATAATCCTTACGAGCCTTGCTGAAAGCACGACTTGCCATCCGTGATAATTGTACGCCCACGCCTAACAACCATCCAGTTTTGCTACTTATCTAATCAGGTGAACAGGAATTCCAAATTAGGTAAATATTTGGTTTACATACTCTTGCGATTCCAGAAAATGTTAGGGTCTGTAATGGAAATATTTCATTATTAGTCTCCTTTGTTGCTGACTGAATATTTGTATGGAGTTTATGCCAGCTTTCGCTGATTGAAGATAATTCGACAAAGCATTAGGTGATAGCGGAGTGACAGGCCTTCAATAAGCCTAATATAATAGTTCTCATATATAAGCCAACGCCAACTACCCTCGCAACTACCTCACACAATATATTGGAGCTGAACCCACTGACATAACTACTATACATATAGACCGCTATTATATAATAATTATAATATGTTTATTCAGAAATAATCATAACAATAATAATAACAGTGTAGCAATAGTAGAATAATAAATGAATAAGAGTAAAATGAGTAATTAATGAGGTGATGATGAGTAGATCATATGAATAAACATAGGGACACCGCAAAGTCCAGAGACTGATCGCGGCGTGGATAGTAACTATACCTTTAGCAGCTTATAGTATAGATATTTATATCAAACACAAATACAAAAATGTCATATTAGTAGGTAGGCAGTGCATGTATTCACTATATACATTTATGAAACGTAAATAAACAGAAAAGCCCATTGAAGACCAGTAGGTTGCGCATGAGCATGAGTATCTGCATATTTATCATTCTAAAGAAGAATATATTACATAAAGCTATATGACATAGATCATACTGGTTCTGTTGCATATTGATTATTTAACATGGTATGATGAATGGTTTAATGATGATGAGTATAAGAGAGTGTTGGGATGAAAATATTCTTCCTATATTGTTCGATAAGAGCATGTATAATTTTTCTCTCTATCGAATGCAAGAAATGTTTGAAAGTTTTCTTTAAGAAATTGAAAGAGTTAATCTTAAGGACGTGGGTTTTGTAGATCTCCGGCAAACAATTGAAAATTTTTGTAGCCACATATAAATATCCCAATAACCATATCATTCGCCTGCAAAATGCTGCTTCTGTTCCATCTACATAAACTCCAAAATTGTCAATCATGAGTCATGTCTCTTGGTTTTCTCGAGAGAGTGAGTAAAATATATATGTCCTGAATGCGTACGCTCTATCAATCCATCATGAATCAATTAATTGAATTAAATTGAATTGAATTTATATAGTTCAGAAATATTACAATATTATGAAACACGTCAAAGTAAAAATAGGACAATGGTCAAATTGAAAAGGAACATTAGCCAAAGTAAAAATATGACAATAGTCAAAGTAAAATGTGACAATAGTCCAAGTATAAGTAAGTATGTAAAAATACAATGAAAATATAAAATATCATATTGTACATGGGTTTACCTAGTTTTTGTTAAGATGTCTCTGTTCTTGAATAACTTGCAATATTCGTCAAATGAGTATATGCAGTTCTCTGCCAGAATGATTTTCAGTCTCATCGAACATTTGGACATTCGAAATTATTTTTTACTTCACCGCATCACCAGTGCTGTGAAGTAACACTTTACCACACTAATGCGTTAAAGTATCTCATTACGAAACCGAAATCGGTGTCTCAATGTTTCACAATACATATTGGTAGTATGTAAATAAATATCGAATAGTTACTCATCGATATTCATATTTCTATAGAAATCTGCCTCTGAAACACCGATAGTGCTTTCTATGCCGATATATCCTGGAAAATGTAGGTTGAAATAAAATTGGCGTAGCATGGAATCAAATGCGGCTTCCCCCTTGGGGAGACGGCAGATAGGGAGCCTGAAAAAAGGGCACTTACAGTGAACGTTGACCATAATCCTCTTGCTAACAGTCGGTGGTACGCCGTTCGATGCTATGCACATATAAGCGCCCATTTCCGTTCGAGATATCTTCCACAATTTCAACACTTCGCCTTGGTACGAGGACACTGAAACATAAACAAGAATTCCGGATGAGCTCTTTTCGTCGATAGCTGGTTGGCCAGAATTTGAATACTTGACATAGAGGGATAGAGGGTTGGGAACGATCGAAGGGATGAATTTAATCTTATAAGTTTTGAATTGACTCGGCCGTTACTTGATGGAAATCTATAAATGTAAAAACTTCACAGACGATGAGATTTCCACGAAATTCTTAAACACACAACATGTTTCGCTAACACAGTAGAGCTTCGTCAGGTGATATACTGGTACAATGGACTAAACCAACGTTTGCTTTCCTTACTTCAATATATCTTACTTTCTTAACTTGAAGGATTAGTTACCTGTGGGCAGGTTCGATAAACCTTCATTTTTGGAAATTATGCACAATATCTACATTAAAAGGTGTATTAGGTGTACCCGATCAACTTGAAAGGGTTGATAGCGAATAAATATTATTTTCCGCGAATCGCTAGGAAATTTTGACATTCCTGTCAAAATTTCTTGAAGAAAAAGTCAGGACTTCCTCACTGTAAGGAAATGTCATTTCTTTACTGTAAGGAAATGATATTTCCGTACAGTTGTTAGTGTTCTACATGAATGATTGAAAACACATTGCTTATAAGGAATTAATTTATGTTTTGAAAACATCAAGTCATTGCTGAATACATTTTTAAAATCAATTTGTTATATTTACAGTAATTTGACAGTTAGTACAATTATTGAACATTGGAGGTACACTGTCAGAACTATGAGAAACATTTTGGACAACATGCGGGGTGGTAGGGTTATTTTGTTGAATATTTTGTACTGTGAAAATTTTATTTGCCACCTCAACCGTATTGTTAAGCGATTCTTCGATATATTATTATCCTTCAGCAACGTTTGATGACTTCCATCCGCCATGCCTCTTTAAACTAGTTATGTCGGCACCAGAGTCAACCAATATTGTTGCAGAAGACCGACGAAAGCAGTGACCAGTATATTCTGTCGGATTTACCAAGTTCAAATAAGTAGCAACTATTTTGGGCATTTTTATAAATTGATGAATTCCTACCACTTGTCTACAACCCTTTCCGCTTTGATATTTGGAGAAAAATCGGTCACTGTTCATATTTTCTGGTCTTAACGAAACATACTTTCGATAAACATTCAAGTAGATCTGATTAATTACAAATGATCTTGGTTTGTTGGTTTTCGAATCAGGTATGCTGATTAAAAGCTTAGATTCTAGGTCTTCTATATCATGTACAGTCATTCCGACTAACTCATCCATTCTACAGGCCCCAGAAATACTAAATATTACAGCCACCTAAAAAATTAATAAAGGTATAATCTAAATAGAAATTAAAACCTTATAAATTACCTTAATCATTACATTTTCTTTATCTGGAGCTTCCTAGGTAAATTTTTCAATTTCTTCCTTCGTTAAAATCTTAGATTTCTTTGCCCTATAACCTTGAGCTTGCCGTTTCAATAAAGAACGAAGTTTCGAGTATGTAGATATATCTACATTGTGTTTAATTGCAAGGATTGACTCCAGCATTGAATAATTGGCCCATAATGTTGAAGATTTCATCTTTAAACAAAGGTCTAGGAAGTATGCCATTACAACATTTTCTGAGAAAGAACTCGTATTTTTACTCATGCGATAATCCATAAAACGTCTGTATGCATTTTCGTACTTTTCTCTTGATTTCTTTGGCAATAATTCTAATGAAGCAGTATTCACTGCCTCAACTAGCTCTGGAGGAGTCCCAGGAATGGAAATTTCATCATCACTTATCATTTTACTTTCGAGAACACCAGCAATTAAATTTATAAGCGTCAAGTTTGACAATTCAAGCTCAATACGTTTCCATAGTAACCCAAGTAATTTTATCAGGAATTTCAAAGCACCATTTATTTGGGAATAAAATTATCGCGTTTTTTTAAAATCAATCAATAACTGTCGAATTTTAAACGATTTGCGGAAAAATAGTATGTTTACCTCGTAGGAAAAGCCACATTCCTGGACTCTGTGTTGCTAAGTCTCGCCTTGCGCCTCGACTAGCAATCTTCACAGTCGCCCAGGAATGTTTAGCTTCTCCTACCCGGTATACAATGTACTATACCTACTAAGGAAACAAATTGAACAGTGGTGAACTATTGAGGTCTAATTGATCGTTAAGTAAAATGTGAACATTTTTTAGTTTGTTGATTGAAAAATGAATTCTCTCTGGTTTCTTTGATAGCCTTTTAATGGACACAGCATAACATTTCCAAAGCATATTGTGAACATTTAATCGCTGCAAAAGGAACAGTCCTGAATAAAAAAATAAAAAAGAGCTTTCCACGCTGGGGAATCGAACCAACTCTCTAGTAATTGAATTTTTACATCCTTACACGATGTCCACTGCGCTATAGGAACCTTATTGATGAATGATATAAATAGAAAGATGTCAAGATGCACTTTCAATATAATAGGATAATTAGCATTGATGCAAGAGAAAAATGGGGCCAGTCAGAGGAAATATTATAAATATTGATACAAGAAAAACATCCACATCATACTTTGATACGATTCTGTATATTCTCAGAATATAGAGTGTTGAAAATTCAGCAAGAATCACATAATAGTTGAAGTGAGGAGTCGAAAAAATATAGAATAGGCTTAGACTTATAATTCACATAAATAAAGTTTAATTGTCTGTAAAATGGTGGAGTTATTGATAAAAAAGTCGAGTATCATTATGAAACTGGAGATCGAATGTAGAAAGAAGAAATGACATCCACATGTTAACATTATTTTTATTCCTCTAATTACTCTCAGTAGACAAACAAATAAATGCAACAGAGCAAGAACATAGATGAAACGCACTCGTTCATCTATGTCAAGAACAATATTTCCAATACCCTTTGGACACCGCTTTGGGAAAAGCATATTACGTCTCAAAAAAACATCCTTATGCCACATTTACAGATCATCCCAAAACATGTTTGTGCTCGCTGGGTTGATGGTGTATTGAAAAACTGAAGATCTCCACAATGAATTTGCTCGTTGTTGATAACGATATCTCCGCCTCTCATGTATATTCATCATGTTAACGGCTTCCTATATATATTGCCTACAAGTATTTTTCATCCTCCTCATGAATAGAATCTCGAACACCACCGAAGGGCATCGTTAAATTGGTAAATAGCAACTGTGACGTCTCACAAATTCACTAATAATTCTATATCAAAGGCAAAGGAGTTGTTCGGCTGACTGGTAGACAGATGTGCATAGCAAGGAAACAACTTTGTGTCGTAAGAAGATGGGGAACTCAAAGTGAAGTATCGTTGAATATGAAGACAGAGATAATAAATATTCACATCCATTTCGTTTTCATTCAATGGGAATCCAGAATGACTGAGTTGGATTTACTTCTAAGGCAACTATATCTATATTCTCAGATAGTGTTCAAATTTTCAGTTCATTGAGAAATATGTGAATTCTACCCTTAACAACTTTAGTGGAGTGAAATACAGCAACTATAAAAGAGGATGTGATATGGAAATGATCATTAAATGAACATAATTATGAGGTTTTCAACGTGAAGCAAGTCCCTCTCTGAATACCCTTCTGTTCTAGGATGGTCACCTTCCAGATTCAATATAGGACAAGCTTATAATTGCTGGTGCCTACCATTGAAAATATTCAAATAGTATTATATAAATATAAATATATTTTCAATGGCCAAAAATTATTTTCATAACAAAAACAAAAGTTTTCGAATACTTCACTGTCAGTATTTGAATACTTTCAAAGTATATTTGAGTATATCCGAAGTATTTAAATACGCTGATAGTATTTGAATATATCCGAAGTATTTGAGTAGGTATTTCCAAAGGATTTAAATACTCTCAAAGTATTAAAATACTTCCAAAGTTGAATACATCCGAAGTTCAATCAAATATTCTCGAGGATTTGAATGAATTCATTTTACTTGCGTATTTTTGACGTTTTTAATCACCTTGTGTAATGTAAATTTGAGTAATTGAGGCAGTTTACATAGCAAAAGTATGAAAAATTAAATGGTTTTTTGTACTGCACTGGGAAGGCGTCAATTTGTCAAAATCCGACATCAAGATAGTAAGATACAGGGGTGCTTCCGTGAAAAGTGCGACAAATTTTTCAGAACTGAACATTTTCTAGGGAAAATATGAATAGTTAGTGAATTGGGCGTCCTGATTCCGAATTCGAAGTGATTTTCAACCAATTCTGATATCAACTGAACAGGAAGCAATGCTATTGTCTCCGTTCAGAAGAATGCAGACAGATTCCTTGATTTCTCTCTTCTGGTTGTTATCTTCTTTTCCAATGATTTTAATATTATTCCACTCTGCCATATGTTGTCCATCTTCAGTAAGGATATGTTCAGCTAGTTTCGAAAAAGATAAAACATAAAACATGGTATTCACTACTGAAATCTGAAAATGAAAATTGTCACTGTGGACTGAGAAGTGTCAAGACGAATACGAATTTGCAATACAAAAATCCATTTTTCATGTTGAAAACAGGAGCAGATTCGTTCCCGAAACGTCAAAGGATAAGTGAAAATTTGATATTTTTTCTAAATACCTTTATTTCTCTTCTCCAAAACTTTTTCGATACAAATTGTCACTGACAAGCTAGTGAATTTTTCTTTTAGGCTCTCTGATAGGAAAATTCTTTAAACGCAGTGACATTTTGAGGCAAATCATCTGATTTGTCCTCACTAGGTACACGTAATTATAATATAAATTAATATAAAAATGGGAAAATCCCAAACAATCTGGAATAATGAATGTACCACCTCTTCGATAAACCTACAGACAGTATTTAAAGATAGGTTATTGAGTTGAGAGAATGAAAAAACTTCTTCTCCAAAGAAATGCGTGTTCATTGAAACTATCTTCCCCGCCTGAAAAAAATCTACGACAATAGGGTCGTGATACTGAATGATCACCTAGAGATGAAGTCACACTCTCTTTGATAGGCCTAGCT